CTTCCAGAAGAGGTGGCAGCATTAGGAAGGAGCACAGTGTCAGTATTAATAGATGGTTGAGGAACTGTTGTCTTGACACTGCCTGTGGTAGCTCCAAGAGCCTGGCCTTAAATGTCAACTTTTTGGATTCTATCTGGTGAGCTATCTGAAAGATAATCCATCTGGATTCAGTAAATGCGAGAACTTATATCCAGAGCAAGCTACGAAGTCAAGCTACGAGAGAAGTAGATGGGTAAGTGGTTTTCAAACACAGCCTGTGTGCTGAAAGTTTACTGCAATAGAGCCCTTGCTGAGACTTGTTTAGATTTTGATGAACTGGCAAATTCTGATGATTTTTTCCAATCAGTTTCAGTTTTATGCTGTGAGTCTTATTCAGTAATCCTGCTGTGCTGAAATGTGTTTTCTTTTATAACCTTCTGAATGCTGTTATGCCTAAATCCCATCTAATCCACTGTATTTGTTACCATAATAATACTGATGTGAACCAAATGTGATATATGCCTTTGACAGGAAAACGTAGAAGGTGAAAACTGTGATCTCTGTAAGCCAGGATTCTACAATTTGCAAGAAAGAAATCCTCAAGGCTGCACAGAGTGTTTCTGCTTTGGCGTTTCTGATGTCTGTGACAGTCTTACATGGCCTATCAGTCAGGTATTTATATGTTCTGTCCATGACCTAATATTCTTTCCTCAGGCAGCTGTGAAATGTACTATATTTCTCTTTGTCATGTGCCCAAGTTAACTGCAAATTCTGGTGTGTGTCTCCTTATAGAGGAATGGATTTTCAGTATCATTAGGCAGCTCTGAGGGAGTCAGCATGTCGTCACAGTGCATGTTTTTGCCCCACTGGCTAGCAGTAATATGGGAAACATTGGGTAGTGGAGGCTGCAGTAATGCACTGGAAAAAATGCGGGTTTTTTCTGACTGTTTGATTCGCTCTGAAGCGATGAACCCAAACCTGTTTCCTTGCTCTCATACCTATTGGACAAGGCCAGAGTGACGTGGCAATATTCCGCAATACTCTTTCTTAGCAAACAGTGATTTAAATATCACTGTCTTCTAAACAGACAGTTCTTGAGTTAGGGGGCTTTGGGGACACTATTTTCCCACCAAATTCCTTATGTATCTTTGCAGAGCTAGTCACACTTTAGTCTACTGTTTTGTGTGCCAATAAAAAGGGAGGAAAATACATAAAATTGATTGAAATTCTAAGACAATTCTATAAAACTCAGTGAGAAGAACAAAGTTCTCTTGTCTTCCTCCTTCTTTTGGAACTGTAGATTTTACTTTCTTGCAGCTCAGCACTATCTGTAAATGGGGATGATCAACCTCAAAGCCTTGGAAGTTCTGTATTTCTATCTCGGGGAATTGCATAGGTATAATGTTAATTTTGTTTAAAGGATAAAAAATCACATACATTATATTTTTGCTCCTGTCTACTAGAGAGGTGGAGACTATCTTATTCTGAAGTAGCATATTTACACGTATTGGGTGTCAGATGTAGCTAATGAAAGTGCTCTGTATCCATCGGTTTGAATGAATATCTAGGAGAGGGTGAATGCTTTCTCAGTGACATTAATATTATTCCATATATTCCATTAATATTATTATTCTTTCTTGCAGATATCAGACATGACTGGATGGCTTGTTACTGATCTGTATAATACAAGGAATGTTCAACCGCAGAGAAGCCAATTTGATGGTCCCCGTCAAATCAGTGTTAACAACACTGAGGCTGTGAAAGTACTGAAACATACTTATTACTGGTCAGCACCTGAGACATATCTGGGAAATAAAGTAAGTACTCAGCTAGGGATTCAAAACTCCTTTATAGTTTCTCTATCTCAACTATAACCTATTGGTCTAAAGATACAATTTTGGTAACTCAAAGTTACACATAAACTCTGGTATTATGAAACTTCCCAATCTATCTGTGCTCTTCAAATCATACTGTTCCTGTCCAGACATTCCCAGTACCCTCTTTTTGCTCTTTGAGCTCATCCATCTCCCCACTTTCTACTTTGCCTATCCTTGACAAAATATGTCTCTTTTTCTCTTGACTGTTATTGACTTATATGCTCACATTCCCCATATTTTTAGTTCCTATCCCAAAGCTTACACCCTTCATGCCTTGTCCAGTACAGTAGACAGGACCATTAAATGCCCTTACCTGTCTCTTGTTCATCTTCTGTTTTGCATGTATTAGTTTTCAGCCAACTAGTCTTTAATTTTTGCCCTGGTTGCTAGCTAAAGCTCTGAGTCTCCCATTTGTTACAGCAGAATCACAGAATAGTTGAGGTTGGAAAGGACCTCTGGAAGTCATCTTGCCCAGTCTCCCTGCTCAAACATGGTCACCTAGAGCAGGTTACCCAGCACCATGTCCAGAGAGCTGCTTCTGAGTATCTCCAGAAACAGAGACTCCCCAACCTCCCTGGGCAACCTGTGCCACTGCTTGTTCACCTCACAATAAAAGTGATATTCAGAGGGAACTTCCTATTTTTCAGGTTGTGATCATTTGTGGCCTTCTGTCCTGGCTCTGGACACAGTTAGTAAGAGTCTGGCTCCATCCTCTTTCACCCTCCCTTTAGGTGTTTGTAGATATTGTCATCAAGCTCCCTGAGCCTTTTATAGTCTGGACAGTCCTGCTACTATCAGTCTTTCCTTGTAGGGAGCCCCTGGTGGTCTAGCGGGTAAAGGCGCTGCACTGTCACTGCAGAGACCTGGGTTTGATTCCTGGTCGGGGCCACTCCCCGGGCAGATGGAGCTCGTTAGCCCTGTAAGGCAATCCATCTACGTCCTGAGGACCTCACTGCCACCGTCCAAGCTCGCTTGGCCCCGGCAGATGAACCTCAGGATTAAAGGGTGGGCTCAGTTCCGCGCACACTGTGTCTCACCTAAAAAATCCAATGCGCAGGCTGGAAGGTGGAAAGACCTT